CAGCCCCAGCACGAAGCCCCCGACCCCCATCAGCATCTTGCTCCTGGCGAAGTCAGACTGCGCCTCTGAAACAGGGACATGGAACAGGCCGGGTCAGAGCCAGGGGCCTCCGGGCCAGGTTCCCGTCTGCCCAGTGACCAGCGCCGGCCGGGGCAGAGCCAGGGGCCTCCGGGCCGGGCTCCCGTCCACACCAATGACCAGCACCGGCCGGGTCAGCGCCAGGGGTCTCCGGGCCGGGCTCCCGTCTGCACCAGTGACCAGTGCCGGCCGGGTCAGCGCCAGGGGCCTCTGGGCCAGGTTCCCGTCCGCGCCAGTGTCCGGCGCCGGCCGGGGCAGAGCCAGGGGCCTCTGGGCCGGGCTCCCGTCCGTGCCAGTGACCGGCGCCAACCGGGTCAGAGCCAGGGGCTAGGGTCTGCAGGAGCAGCTGTGGGACAATCTGACCCACATCAGGCCTCCTCCTGGTCTGTGATCGTCAGAGATCGGCTCAGGCCCTGCAGCGCGAGGTCAGATATCCCTGCCCATTGTCAGCATGAACTGGTCTAGCCAGGGCCATCTCAAGGGGGGTGCGGGGCCTGGAGTGGAAGTGACGGATTCGTCTCTTCCGGGACCGACCGCGCCGGCCAATCGCATTGGCCCCGGGGCCTGGAGTGGTTCCCCCGATTCGCCCTACCCAAGGGACAGCTGAGTCTAGCCATGGATAGTCTGAGAGACACAGAAATAGCCAGTCTCTGGGTGAACGTTGCTCTGTTCTTGGGTTCAGTGACATCCTGTGGCAGTGAGTTCCACAGGCTAATTACACAGTGTGTGGGAAACGTCCTTCCTTTTACCAGGTGTGAATTTGCCCCTTTCCATTCCACTGAGTGTCCCCTTGTCCTTGTGCTGTCAGACAGGGAGAACAGACGTTCCCGATCTCTCTTCTCCAGACCAGTCATTATTATGGAGACTTTTCTCTGCTCCCCGTCACTGCCCCACTCAGGTTGTGTCGACACTACATTGTAGAGCTGAGCATGTGAGCTCCCAGTGCAGGTTGATAGATTTGGGTCATCAGGTTGTGACGAAGTGGGGGTTTTCTTGTTTTCTGTGGAGTTTCAATGGTTTGCATGCGGAGGGGGTGGGACTCAGTTTCCCTGGGTGATACTGGTTTAACGAGGTGAGGAGAGAGGGAGTGTGTTTTGCAGAGGACCGGAGAGAGGACTTGGGGAACCCAGCCAATGGCCTGGAGGATGGGTACCCCAGCGACCGGCGACCTGGCGACCTGGTGACCCGGAGACCCAGCTCAGAAGTCACAGCCGGTTCTGGCCAGTGGGCGGACAATGGGCTGCAGAGTGAGGGCCCAGTGACCGAACCAGCCGGTTCCAGCCAGAGGACAGAAGAGGGGAGAGGAGGCCCCGGTTTACGACCCTGTTTACCTGGAGAGAAGACAATGGACAGAGGCGGGGCCTGGGGCCGGGGAGCTCAGAGGCCCAGCTGGGAGCAGGGGGGCGCTGGGCTGGAGAGGGGGAGCAGGCAGAGCCCACCTGGATGCAGAGAGACTGGGATGTGCTGGGCTGAGGGAGGCCAGGCCTGAGGCCGGAGAGTTTCCTGTGCTGGGTTCAACTCTCAATAAACCCTCCTGTTTTATGTTGGCTGAGAGTCACTCCGGCCTAGAGAACAGGGTGGCATCAACCCCTTCAGGGGTGGAGGCCCCGGGGGTCCAGAGCAAATGGACTCCCTGAGGGGGCCCACGGCAGAGACAGACGTGCTAAGGCTCCGAGAGGTGCGGCTCCAGGTGGAGGGGCCTGACCCCGAGAGAGAGTGGACCCCCGAGAAGGGCTGTCGCACTGAAAGGGGCACCCCCCACGGACTGCACGGGGCCAAGAATGGGCACGATCTGTGAGTCCGTGACACAGGGCTCGTGTGAGCGCTCTGACCCAGGCCCATCCCCCGAGGGCTGCCCCTGCGGGCTCAGGGGCTGCCCCACACCCAGCGGCTCTTACCCCAGTGCACGGTGAGGGGGCCCC